TATTCGCTGGTCTGCACCCTTCTGGCGGGGGAGGAATACTGCCTATATTAACCCTTCTCTATAAAAAATAATAAATATACAATTTTTGGGTTTTAATGGTTTAAGACTGGTTTAAAAGTGTTTCTGCAAGTGGGAGAAAAAGATATATATTCATCTTCTCTGTCAGATATAGTGTTAGGAATCCAAAACATTATTGAAAAACTGTTAAGAAATGATTCGGTTCAGAAAATATTTATTGGAAGTCTGTTTAGGCAAAAGATTTGTGGAACCATGGATCCAGGAAAGTACAATTCTACTGTTTTTGACATAAATAACACACTACGAAGGAAATATGGGAATTCTCAGAATGTGAAATTTTGGAGATGTGGGGTTTAATAAATTCAAATAAAAACATTTGGCGTGAAGATGGGATTAGTTTGAACAGAGAGGCAATGGAAATTTTTAGTCGACAGATTCAACTGGCAATGAAATGTAAAATATTACATAAAATACCTATGCTTGGAGATGATGAAAGATTTTCAGTTCACTTAACCAGACTGAGATTTTTTCGTAGTTAAAATTCAATCAAAAATTCCGTTATATTTTATTTTGTGGTGTGGTTTTTTTACTTTACTTTTTTTTTAAATTCATATTTGTTTTAATTTAAAGACAATTCAAAAGGTAAACAACTGATGTAAAATATTTAAAACATCTGAATTTTTTTTCTAAGAAAAGAACATTAAAAGGTTACTTTGAAATAAAATATCTATAGATTTGAAAATTGTTATATTCTTTTAATTTACTATTTCTTTCCAGGTTTCAGTATTTTCATATTTTGACATTGATTTACTTTTTGTTCTCTTTTAACATATAAGTAATTATTATTTTCATTTTAAAAATTTAATTATTATTATTATTGCTTTGAACCTTTGAATTTCATATTTTTATATTTTTAAATTCATAATTTGTCTAAAGTCTCAAAAATAAATTCAGTATTTTCATATTTTGAAATTTATTTATTTTTTTGTTCTCTTTGAAATATATTTATAAGTAATTATTAATTATTATCATTACTTTTTTTTGTTATTATTGTTGCTTTGAAGCTTTTGGATATAATCATATCTCTAAATTATGAATTTCTCTAAAATCTCAAAATAAAAAAAAATCTTAAATTATCCTAATGGCTAACGTTCTTAATTAAAAAAAAATATTACATAATATTTGATATATATCTTGCATTTCGAACATATTAAAATTAAAATGAATTATTTTAACTTTATCTAAACGATGATAAACAGCAGCTCGCATCGAAATTAGATCGGGCGTGGTGTACGGTAAACCAGTAATGACGCCCGATTTCTGTCGACTCTGAGGTAAAATTGGCTATAAAAATTTACGGATATTGATATCATTCATTTAAACATCACCTTAGGGATTTATGTACCCCATTTCATTCAATTTTATAGGGCTTCTACCAATTTTTCGGGGCTTCTACCCTTCTGTATGGGTATTCTCTGAAAAACGGGGGCTCGAATTTTCCAGTCACCCGACTAAAATGGGTAGCGAAACCCGGGCCGGGCCGGGAATTTCAAAACTGAGAGCCGGGTTTTTGATAATAACGAGATAAATACTATTCTTTCTTCATGAATTTTACAGACATAGTTTATAACTATAGGTTTTGCCTTCGCTGAGAATTTTAAGTCAAAATGTTGTGTTTTTCGATGATTATTGCCAGTTGTCCTTTTCCAGGTGACTAAAATGGGTAGCGAGCCCGGTTTACTCATTTTGGCTATTTTATGCTTAATGCATCGAAAGTGTTTGTGATATTTGCATTTAATGGTTGTTTATTAACTTCAAATAGCTAAATTGTTCAATCATTATAAAAATAAATGTCGATTATTAGGGTTTAAATCATTTTTCATAGACCCGGGACAGGTCAAAACCGGACGCGTTTGCCCCGGGGAAAAAATTTAAAAATTCCGGATTGCCAGAGAGAGAGAATGTAGAATTTTTCAGTCCCTGACCGAGATACATCTAAAAAATAAAGTGAAAAAAATAATAAAAATATGTAAATAAAAAAAGAGTCATTTATATTTCATTTATTTGTCATTCTCTGATAAGTATTTCGGATATAAAAGGTTTTTCCCGGGTGAACGTGTCCGGTTTCGACCAATCCCGGGTGTTCAAAAAATGCGTATATTTTCAATAATCGTGATTTATTACTGCAACAGTTAAATGTTTTAGGTAGTTTAAGTTCAATTTCAAAGATCCAAATGAAATAATTGTAAATATGCTACCGAAATTAAGTTTAAATCGCCAAAATGAGAAATCCGGGCTCCCTACCTATTTTAGTAACTTGGAAAAGGACAATCTGTGATAATCATTAAAAAACACAACATTTTGACCTAAAACTTTCAGCGAAGGCCAATCTTAGAATAATTAACTATGTCAATCAATTTCATGAAGAAAGAACGAGTATTTATTTCGTGATTATCAAAAACCCGCTTTTCGTTATCGAAAATCCCGGCCGGCCCGGGTTTCGCTACCCATTTTAGTCACACTCCTTTCGGGGACATACTAAAGACCTGATATACTAAAGACCTGATATTGACCTGATGGAAATATTTTTAACTAATATTAGAAAATAATGCGTTTTTTATGATTTTTCAAAATTAATTATTGATTATTAGCCATAATTCAATGATAAAATATATTTTATTTGACAAAAAATGCATAATTTTAAGAAATATTCAATGAAAACGGTGACCTGATAATTTTGATTGACCTGATAATTTTTATATGACCTGATAAATATGGTTTAACTTATATTTAATTACAAATTTATTTCATCCAAATAGAAATACTATAATATAAGTATTTTATATCAAATGTCATAAATATTTGTTGCAAATCAAGAAAGGGGCATCTTTTTTTTTTTTACATGACCTGATCATTATACTAAAGACCTGATAATTTCATGCCCTGGTAATTTTGAATGACCTGATGATTTTAAAATGTGGGGATATTTTAATATAACCTTTTATCCTACAATTAGGACATCTTATCAATATCAATTTAATTAAATATATGCAGAATATCACGAATTGATTTTTTACGGCATGACCTGATAATTATACTAATGACCTGATATTTTTTATTAATGACCTGATATTGTAGGATTATCAATATTTTTTTTTATAAAATGTAAATAGAAATGCTTTTAGATAAAGATTAGCAGGAAAATATTGAAATTTCTTGATATTTTAATTGACCTAATATTTTAAAGACTGGATTAAGCGAATGACATGATAGTTTTAATTGACCTGATGGTTTCAAGTGACCTGATGGTTTTTAATGACCTGATGATTTTAAGTAATAGTCAATAGAAATGTGCTGCTATGGAGAAGCTTTATTTACAGTAAAATCTTGATACTGTTTTCCCAATAAGAACTTTTAGCCATACATGATATGCAAGTCATTAATTGATGACCAACATGTATGTTTCCAGACCCTACGACGTGGACGTGGTTCTTAACAGGGCCCTTATTTGTTTTGTTTCTTTATTGTATTTTTCCAAATTTTTGACTGTTCTTAACATTTTAATTTATTTGGATATTTTTAAAAATGTTTAATTCATATGATATATCCTTAACTTTATTTTACTTTAATTTCTTTCTTTCTTTTTTTTTTTTTTTTTTATTTTTTTTTTTTTTTTTTTTTTTTTTTTTTTTTTTTTTTTTTTTTTTTTTTTTTTTTTTTTTTTTTTTTTTTTTTTTTTTTTTTTTATTTTGTTTATTTTTCATTTTATTTTTTCATTGTTGGTTTTTCTGTCATAATTTATTCTTAACTGATTCTTTTAGTAAGGACAGTTAGGTTGAATGTTCGCCACCGTAAGACAGGTGAGGCTGCTTACATTTGTACATTTTTAGTGCCTATGTGGAGTGCATAGCCAATCATCGTCATCTTCTACACCAGCACATGTACGATGTCGCCATACTGCACAGCTGCCAAATGGTGCATCACATCCTATCATCTCCTGCATGAGGTTCGGCAATCTGCATTTACAAATGCAAGGCACATCCAGAATAGTGACTTTCTTCTTGTTTAGCTTTGCCTTTGTCTCTATTCTAGGGAAGGGGGTGAAGTATTCCTCTCTAGACAATGCAACAAATGAGGTCGCAAATATGGTGCATCGAATTTAAGGAGGTCGCTTCCCTGATAATAGCTATAACAAAACTGCACAGCATTTGCAATAGCAAACAAACCACAGTCAACACCATTATTCTGCTGTTGAACTTGTGGCAAACGGACTGTAATTTGATGGTAATCGCTGCCGTACATGCTTGCTAGCTGAATCTGCAGTGATGGTGTGACATTGCCATTTGACATACTGTCGAGAACATATATTTGTCCATCTAACTTCACAGATGCCACCCAATGGAATTTTCCATTGTGGTGGATCTGGACTGCTGGTGACATCACAGATCGATATTACCTAAAAAATAGGAAATTGCACGCTGCGACAAAAGCGAGATAAATGCGATAATACACGGTACTCATCTTGAAAAATCAAGAGGAAATTAAAAAAATTGGTAAAATCTGGATATTTTGTAGTCTTGGAGTATAATTTTGAGACGATAATTTGATTTATTCCCGCCCATGTGAATTGAAAAACGCCAATGAATTTGTTTATTCTTAATTACTTCCAAATTAAAATTGTACTGTCCAATGAAATAAATATCGCTTTTCGGTTCAACCAATCTTTCAATAAACACTCGCGCAACTTAATTTGCTAGGAATAGGTACCCAAGCTATGTTTCACCCAATCATGTTCTGCTTATAAAGCAATATGTAATAGAGAGAGTTTAATGAGGTTAGAATATTTGTTTGCAATTTCAATTATGCGGCGGTTTTTGATGGTTTCTTGATCAAGCTCATCAATGTTTCAATCAATCGATTAACGGTCAGTTAAAGAGCTTACGTGTTTGGAAAAAAATTAACTAATCTGCACAGTAGGATTAATGATGGTAAAAATTAGTTTTTACAAGAATTATTATTTATGATAATTAGTACGATGCAATTTACCATAATTACACATCTATGAATGCACATTTCCATAAGAAAATAAATGACATTAAAAAAGATTTTCCCAAAACTTAAAATGAATATTTAAAAATCATTTTAATAATTTTTTTTTTACTGAACAACAAGAGAAAGATATAAATTAATGAATGAATAACAGTATACGATGATGTGAGTTATTATTCAACGGACCATTCATAGAAAATATCAGGTCAATAAAAATATCAGGTCATATGTTTCACGTAGTTAAGGCTCAATACAGATTTATAACCATATTTTTTAAGATAACCATTATACAGAAATACCTAGCTATACATATACTTATCTGCACTTTCCTGTAGAAATTTAAAAAGAATAAAAGAACAACAAAGATAAAGAACACAAAGATATTTATTTCCACCAGGTCAAAGAAATATCAGGTCAATACATTTTCCTAGTTTATGGCTCATTACGCATACTTTTATTTTTAAACATAATTACACCTAATATATCTGTCTTAAATCCCAGAAATATAAGAATAACTAAAAAAAAAAAACACAGAAAACACGGAGATTTTATAAGTTTTTATTTCAATCAGGTCAAAATCATGTCAATAAAAATTATCAGGTCAATACACTTTCATAGTCTCTGGCTTGTTACGCATAATCATACCTATATTTTTTAACACAAACATACCTAAATTATCCGTTCTATTATCTATCAGTATAACATCAAGAAAAAATAATGATAAACACAGAAATCGCGGAGATTTTATAAGTTTTTATTTCAATCAGGTCAATATCAGGTCAATGAAAATTATAGGTCAATACACTTTCATAGTCTCTGGCTTGTTACGCATAATCATACCTATATTTTTTAACACAAACATACCTAAATTATCCGTTCTATTATCTATCAATATAACAATAAGAAAAAATAATGATAAACACAGAAATCACGGAGATTTTATAAGTTTTTATTTCCATCAGGTCAATATCAGGTCAATGAAAATTATCAGGTCAATACACTTTCATAGTCTCTGGCTTGTTACGCATAATCATACCTATATTTTTTAACACAAACATACCTAAATTATCCGTTCTGTTATCTATCAATATAACAATAAGAAAAAATAATGATAAACACAGAAAACACGGAGATTTTATAAGTTTTTATTTCCATCAGGTCAATATCAGGTCAATGAAAATTATCAGGTCAATGGATTTTCCTAGTTTATGGCTGGTTACACATAATTATACCAATATTTTTAAACAAACTTATACCTAATATATCTCTCTTACCTCCCAGAAATATAAGAATAACCAAAAAGTAAAGATAAACACAGAAAACAGAGATTTTTTTTAATTTTTTATTTCATAGGTCAATAAGGTCAAGTCAAGTTAACCAGAGTTTTTCTGCTAAAATATCGACAATTTCTAAGTAATTTTATGTCTACTAACACAAATTTATTAGAATTATTGATATTTAACTATTTTTTGGATCTATTTCTTTATTTTCTTTTATATTAGAGCAAGTTATTAGATATTTATTACATGCGCGTTTTTTCCCTGTTTCCAAAAATAGCGGACTGACTTTCATCGTAACAAACGCCGAACACCTTCACTTTAAATCACAATTTCACAAATAATTCGCATATTTTCACATCTTAATTACCTATTTTCAAATGTATTGTAGTTTTATAATACATATTGATAGATTCTTAATAATTCACAAGTCATTTATACGTTTTATACTACGTTTTATGTGACGAAGCGCTAATTCCAGACTCAGACCCAACACGGTAGCGTTTGTGACGTCAGACCCAATATATTGGGTTCCCGCACACAAAGGGTTAAATAAACTAAGTAAGTACATAGTTATGATGAGCAAGAGTGCCTCTTCCAAATTTGTGAATTTCTTGGCCCCAGGGTCAGGGGTTCTAGTGCTAGGGCGGGGCTATATACATGTAGATTATTCAGTTAAAATGCATTATTTTTTAAAAATTTTTCTCCTCTGATCATGATCCTGAGTATGAATAAACTAACTAAGTACATAGTTATAATGAGCAAGAGTGCCTCTTCCAAATATGTTAATTTCATGGCCCCTATGTCAGGGGTTTAGCTATTTGGTGTAAGGAGAGGGGGCTCTACATTACATTAATTCTTTGAAAATCTTTTCCTTTGCTCCTGGGTATTATGCCAATGATCTAAGTTTTTATATATATATATATATATATATATATATATATATATATATATATATATATATATATATATATATATATATATATATATATTTATGATGAGGAAAGGTGCATCTAGCAAAATGGTTAATTTCATGCCCCCTGGGTCAGGGTATGGGGGGGGGGTATAGTCTGAAAATAAATGAATGCTTTGAAATCTACTCATTAGTATTAATCAACCATATTTGACAAAAAACATGATAAAATTTTGAAAATGTGGCCCCAGGGTCTGTGGTTCCTGTGGGGTGGGGTGCACAATTGCATGGTTTAGAATGGAAGTGCATTTTTCTCTTAGTTACTCTGATCTACTTATGGGTGTTAAGTGACTATCTAGTAAGCATTGCTAAGTGTATAATTAGGATAAGCAATAGTGCCTCTTTCAAAATTGTGAATTTCATGGCCTCTGGTTTAAAACACAAACCAAATTCAATTGTTGGAAAGTTGTTACATGATACTCAGGTGACCTATAAGGCCCGTGGGCCTCTTGTTCGGTTGAGTGAACAGGTTAAAGTTTTTGGTGCAGGTTTCATTTTTAAATAACTATGAGTTCTTTCATGACCAATCTTGCATGGATGATACATCTAAGGATGCATACTACCGGGCTTGCTTCGGATGCTGAATCTGACCTACATTTTCCGGTTGAGTGAACAGGTTAAAGATTTTGGTGCAGATTTCATTTCCAAGTATCTATAAGTCCTATGTTGACCAAACTTGCATGGATGATACATCTAAGGATGGATACTACCAGACTTGCTTCAGATGCTGAATTCGACATACCTACATTTTTCAAATAATAGACCAGGTAAAAGTTAGGGTTTGCAGTTCTATTTCCAAGAAACTATAAGGCTTATATAACATTGTATAAACCAAACTTGCACAAATGTTGCATCAAGAGATGAAAACTCTCCAATTTGCTTCAGATGCTGGATTTTGATTACATTTTCATGAAGAAGAACTAGTTTAAATTTTTTATGTAGGTCTATTTCAAAGTATCAGATCAAAATTGCTTAAATATTTTCATTTTTGGAATGTACACTTTTTGTTGGTTAATTGTGTGACTTTGCCTTACTTAAAGACAACATTGTTGGGGTGAGCTTTGTAATCTCTAAAATTTCCTATGTTTTTTTAGGTAGCAGCACTATCCATTGCCAGTGGCAACGCTCTGCTTTTAAAGGGAGGGAAGGAAGCGTATCATAGCAACCAGATCCTCCATTCCCTGGTACAAGAAGCACTGGAACCATTCGTTCCAAGGGAAACCATTTCATTGGTAAGATTGTGTTGACTAATGTCTTTGTCCTAATGTTTTTGGATTGAAAATTTGGGAATACTGCTTTGTGAGTTTGTTTGCATGTCTACATGTACATCTTGACATTTGAAGGAGAATTTAGATTTGTTCACTGAAGGTCACTCTCAAGAATTAATATGAGTTCAAGGTCATATTTAATCAAAGTACAAAGAGAAAAAATTCCCTTCATATGATAAGAAATTTAAAATGGATTTTTTTATTTTAGAATAAAATGAAGGATAGTATTAATTTATAGTTACAGCTTTAAGACAAATTATGGAAGATGTTTCCACATTTAAAAAAATGTTATATTCATGGCAATACAGTTATACTGGGTATTGAGTTGTTGGTGTATTCATGAATTGGTGCTACACATGTCTGCTTTAAAATTGAAATATGATTTCTTAGTGGTATTCATAAATTAGGGCATTATTGTCTACACCTAAGCTGATAAAATATGAAGCCCGCTTTTTTTAAGTGCACGTAACTACAACATTGTTTAGTGTTGATAATTTCTGTACTGTAGGTGAGCACACGTGAGGAGATAGAGTCTCTGCTGGAACTGAAGCAGTACATCGACCTAATTATTCCCCGCGGCTCTAACGAGCTGGTCAGTATGATACAGAAGCTCAGCCAGGGCATTCCCGTCCTGGGACACAGTGAGGGCATATGTCATGTTTATATTGACCAGGAGGTGGACGAGCAGATGGCACTCAACATTGGTAATGTTCTGTTGAAATGTATGACATAATTTCTCATCAATTTGAAATCTAGTGATGATTAATTTTTTTCTTGCTTTTAAATGGCAAGAAATAAATATATCCATTGAGATTAGAACTGAAATAGTTTTTTAGAAGAGCAAAATATTCTTGCCATATGGGTAAACTTTTGATTTCATGTAAATAGACTTGAACTGTTCTTCGAATGAGGGTTTAAGAATTATTTAGTGCTATCCAAAATTTATTTTATTGTAATAAGATGATTTTTGAGGACAGTTTTTATCGTATTTCAGTGGGGGACTCTAAGACAGACTACCCTGCCGCTTGTAATGCCGTAGAAACCATTCTGGTCAACAAGGCACATCTCAGAACACTGTTTTTCGAGGATTTGTTTGATATGCTGAGATCTGAGGGGGTAGGTAGAAAATGGAAGCTCAGTAGAAAGGGTGCTTTAATAGTTTTATAGGAAGGGCTAAAGGATTTGAATTACATGTACCAGAGATTAAAAATTAAACTTTAAGCTCAAAATTGCTGGATTTTGCTCTTTGAGAACTCTTGTAAGTTGAAATAATTACAAATTGTCAAATTAGGCCATAATAAATAAATAGCTAGATTCTCATCCGAATTTTTTTAAAAATCGAGGCGGGCGGGCAGCTTTTATTTTATATTTTTTATTTTTTCAATTTTGCAGATATTTTATTGACCTGGTCAATCTATGTATTTTTATCTAAAAACCCGAATAAAAGTCACAGTAAAGGTTCAATTATCTCTTACTTCACATCATCACCTATCTTTTCAACCAATGACCCTTGTTTAAAATATATACACATATATTACAGCAATTACCATCTTTTCAGCTGTCAAAATCATTCAAATTTTGAATACCGTTTCCCGATCAGAATTAAGACGAAAAAAAACAGAAATAAAAAAATGGAGGGGGGGGGGGGTTAAAATCAGGGAGGGCGGGGATGAGAATCTAGGAATATTTTTATTATGGCCTTATGTATAAAAGCAAAGTCTAATAAAATTTTATGTTGTTTTTATTTAACAACAGGTCAAGATTTACTCTGGTCCCCGTTTATCATCTGCCCTGAAATTCGGCCCCCCACCGGCCCCCTCCCTTCACACGGAGTACGGAGACTTGTCTGTCACCATAAAGTTAGTGGATGACGTCCGTGACGCCGTCCGTCACATCAACAAGTACAGCAGTAGTCACACCGACACCATAGTGACCAGTCATAGTGAGTGGTCCATTCAAAACAGCCCCTCCCCTCAGTACCTAGTGGTGAAATCTGTAGTGAACAGTCATAGTGGATGGTCCATCTAGTTAAATCATAACTCCCCCCCCCCCCCATCACCCTTGTACACATTTCCCATGACATTATTTCAGTAATGCTTTATGATCTTCATGGTCTTCAACCTTACCCATCCCAGCCATTTTTTACCATAATTATAAAGCTTTGTTTTCATGCATCTATATGATTTAAAATACATGTAAAAGGAATTTGTTTATGAGGTTCTTCATAGTTCATAGGTGCTTTTAATTAATGGTAAAAGATGACCATAGCTGCTTTTAATTAATGGTCAAAGATGATCATAGCTGGTTAAATTGCGTTAGTAAATTACAGAAAAAAAATGTTCTCATAAGCATCACTATTTTTTAATACAGAAAACACAGCAGCAGTTTTTCTCAAGGGAGTGGACAGTGCTTGTGTGTTTCACAACACTAGTACAAGGTTTGCTGATGGCTACAGATTCGGTCTAGGTTAGTAATGTTTTGCAGTACATTGTAGTACTTCTGTAGAAATTCTTATTTCCAGGTGCTAGTATTTTACAATTTTCTGTAATATTTCATTTTCGGCATATATAGTAAAACACGTTTAGTACGAACACGGATATAGCGAATTCACGGATATAACGAAGTGTTTTTGGGTCCCCGGCAAAATTCTTAACAATATCTTCGTAAAATTTTACGGTTATAACGAACTTTGATATAACGAATTTACAGATATAAAGAACTGATTTTGAGTCCCGTTGAGGTTAAATATAATGAATTTTACATCTTTTATAACAACTTTCAAAGATTTCAAAATTTGAATAATTGATTACTGACTTTATTTCTCTCAACATTTGTATATAAAATTCAATTCATAATGAAACCTTAGTTATCGAAGGTATTTTTTGTAATATTTGCTTCCCTAACATATTTGATAGTAACACTTAAAGGAAAACATGCATATTGCGAATTCGCTATATATGGTTATACGAATTCGTTTTACGGATATAACGAATTACGTATATAGCAAATTAAATTCACAAGTCCCAAGGACTTCGCTATAACCGAGTTTTACTGTACCGTGTTTTACTGTAGTGACAATCCAGTAAATGTGCCTAATTTTTCTTTCTGTAAAATAACAGAAATTAAAATAAAATTTGGAACACATTGAAAACATATTTTGCAGAATTATTAATTAAATTTTTTTAGAAAAAGAAACTCTTCTTTGAATTTTGAATTTGTCCATGATGCAATGAAGTCAACAAAAATTTGGGGGTTTAAAAAAAAAGAGGAGAGATTTAACAGTGATTAAATAAATTATATTTTTTTTTTTTCGGGCCTAGGTTTATAAGCCCAGCAGAATTATGCCCGTGGTCCCTAGGAGTGGAGGGACTTGACTCCCACGAAATGGCTCCTCCATGGCGAGGGGCATATAGTGGAGGTTTTCTCGAAAGGAAAATTGGAATACCGACACGTGTCTCCCCCACTACCCAGGAACAAGCATCGGAGGAGGAAGAACATGTAGAACGGGAGGAATAGATCTGGTTATTGGACTGTTTAAAGACGTACAACCCGGGGGGGGAGAAATCTTCGTTTTCAATTGAACGTTTGACGTGACGTCAAATTTAGCGTCAAAAATAAAGCGTCAAAACGACGAGTAAAACGATCCCGATGTATATCAATCATGAAAGGAAATTGGGATATGGGGCTTGGCTTTGATTGCGCGTACCATACTCAATAAATTTTAATTTTTTAATTAACCCGATTAAATCCGTAAAAAGCAAGACAAAAAATACCATCCCTTAATGTTTATTTCATTTCATTTCATATACAATAAATGGTATTTTTTATCAAACCAGCTTTTTTTTTATTCTGAAAATTTTATTTTACATTGCCGAAATTCTTTTATGTACAATTGGCTATATAACTTCCATTAATGGTTTCTTTAAAAGGGTTTTACATAAAATTTTTTTTTTTTTTTAATAAATAAAATAACAATAAATAAAAAAAAAAAACTTTTTACAATGTAAAATATGGCCCTTACTATAAAGAGGAACAACTCTGAAAATTGGGATGTTTTTTTCCCCCTTTATTCAGGGTTTTCCACAAAATCAATACTTTTCAGCAAACCTGATAAATGAAATTGAATACTATAGACCTCATATACACAATGTAAGTATAGAATTGAAAAGAATTGTTCACTTGTACTGAAATTATCTGCAAAGATGAATATCCTATTGCACAAATCGTTTGACTTTCTGTCAACAATGTGGGTTTCGCATTTCCTCGAATCAAAACAAAACGTAGCCTATAAGTTTTTTCAAAAATATCAAAGTGCGATCTGATATAAATTGAAATACATGAAGAGTTTAATGTTTGATATTTTGAAGTTAATGTGGACAAATACGGTTTTTCATACTAACTTTAGAAGCGACGACATTGAAAGAAATGCGTACAATATCATAGGGGTGTACATCTATGCAAATGTGATGTATCCCCACGGCCACATACTGTCTGTTTGAAATAATGACATGAAAGAAACTACAATTATTCCATTTATATCACAGGAGATTTAACATACACCATTATTTTAATGAATAAAATTAAAGATAAAAATCAAAAATCGACATATTGAAGTTCAACAAAACTTGAATTCGTATCCAGGTTTCATGTGATATGGAATGCATAAAGCATACATATATGGACTAAACACTAAAATCCTTCAGTATTTTTTTCCTATCACTAAAAAATATCAATATTTATTCTGCATTCATGAATTTAAGAACTAATGCATACCTCCGGGATTCAAATACAAAAAGTATATTTGCACTGTAAACGACGTTTCGTCAAACGCTAATGGTCTGCGACGCAAAAAAGGAAGGGGTGGGGGTGGGGAGGGGTATTCAAAAATTACCTAAAAATCTACATTTAAATACGCTTTACACATGAGAACTTTTAAATTTGTAAGTTAATATATTTTTGAAGCAAAAGCAATATTCCAATTTATTTTTTTTAATGTGTATTTGTAGATTCATATAACAAAGTGATCGACCCCCTCAAAAAGGCGGGAACGTGATTTTTCAGAAAGGGGGGGGGTAATTTTTTCCCATTAAAACAAAAAATGGTCTACAAAAATTATCAAAAATTATAAATTATTTTTACTACCACTACCTAAAGAAAGTTTTTTACCAAAATTGATTTTTTTCACAAAAAAAATTTGAATCTGAAAAATACGCAATTTTAAGGTTAGTAAATTCTAGTTTTTTGTTTAAGGTCTTTAAAAATTATTTTTATGAAGTATATCAAAAAGATACTATATTTTTTTGTTAAATGGTTAAAAGAATAAGCCAATGAAATTTTACATTATATCTAACCTGGCTTTCTTGAAAATCAAGGTTTAAGTAGTTCATTGATTAAAAATTTCTCTCCTCGTAAACACCTAAAAGGGGGGGAATTTTGGAAGTTCCTGTCCAAAAACCACTCGAACGATTTTGTCCAAAATGTGCATACATACAGTAGATATATTCATGTACTAAATATACAAAAATAACGAAAATTAAACACAGGAATTTTTTTGGGGGAGGTGTGTTGTACATCCTTTAAAAAATTTCAAAATGGACATTGGAATCAATCTTTGTCATTGATTTCTGATTAAATGAATGCCCGCCATTGTGGGGTTTCAAAATAGAATTACGGTAGATTGCTGTCTCGCATAAATAATACCATGATCATTGGGAGTTTATAGATAATTTTCCAACAGTATGTCCATTTTTTTTTTTTCATTTTTGAAAAAATGGAAAAATATTTTCAGGACACAATCTTTAAATTTTTTGTCTACTGGTAGGACCAGAAGAGCTTTGCATAGTAAGGTGTCCGTGTCTGTCTGTCTGTCTGTCCGTCTGTCTGTAAACAATTTTTCAAAACGCTACTCCTCCTACAGTTTTGGGTTTATTTTAATATAACTTGGCACACAAGTAGACTACATAAAATACATAAAATAGTGCATCGGTTTTTGATTTTGATGAACGGTGTTGCCGTGGTTACTAAAAATAGAAATGCCTGTAAAATTGTTTCATATTGCTACTCCTCCTACAGTTTTCATTTGATTTCAATATAACTTGGCACACAAGTAGACTACACTAAGATACATAAAATTGTGCATCAGTTTTTGATTTCGATGAAAGGTGTTGCCATAGTTACTAAAAATAGAATTTTCTGTGAAATTCCTTTAAAAACCCATCCTCCTACATTTTGGTCTGATTTCAATATAACTTGGCACATAAGCAGACTACACTAAAATACATAAAATAGTCTATCGATTTTTTGATTTTGATGAAAGGTGTTGCCATGGTTACTAAAAATAGAATTTTCTGTGAAATTCCTTGAAAACGCTACTCCTCCTACACTTTTGGTCTGATTTCAATATAACTTGGCACATAAGCAGACTACACTAAAATACATAAAATAGTTCATCGGTTTTTGATTTTGATGAAAGGTGTTGCCATGGTTAAAAAATAGAATTTTCTGTAAAATTTCCCTTTTAAAAACGTACTCCTCCTACAGTTTTAGTCAAATTTTAATATTACGGGCAACAAGTATACTACACTGAGATACACAAAATATTGCATCGGTTTTTGATTTCGATGAACGGTGTTGCCATGGTTACTAAAAACAGAATTTTCTGTGAAATTCCTTTAAAACGTCCCCTTTCTACAGTTATGGTCTGATTTAGTATTACTTGGCACACAAGAAGACTACACTAAGATACATAAACTAGCGCATCAGTTTTTGATTTCGATGAACAGTTTTGCTATTGTTACTAAAAATAGAAATGTCTGTGAAATTCCTGATGGCAATGGCTTCTTTTCTCATCCTTTGTCATAAGTACAAACCAGTAAGCTAATTCACAAGACTTCTGGTTATATTCACAAGAATATGTTCTTGAAAATTGTAATTGTCACTAAGCTTTAATGAATTGTTAATGATGTCTGATTTTCATTTTAGGCACTTATTTCTACATTTAGGTAATGGAAAGTTATTGCTAAATCTATATTATTTAGTAAATAAGTTTGTTAAAAAAGCAATAACACGTGCATCAAAAGTTTGCTTGTTTTTGTTCTATACTCATATACCATGAATGGATGCACACCTACTTGTACATATTTTTATATAAAGTTCTTTTGTTTTACCTCAATTACAAGTAATATAAAAAAAAAAAATTTCAAAGTAGTTTTTAAACCATAATATTTCTAGATTAAAATGTTTTTTTTCGGGGGGATAATATTATTTGTGTTACTTTTGTAAACAATTATATCACTGATCTGGGTGTGTATAATTTTTCAAATTTTTCACTGATTTTTTTTTTTTTAAATACATTCAAAAAACAGTTTTTTTTTCATCATTGAATGAATATACAGTAAAATTTCGTATCACAACATTGACTCTTTTACAATTGATATTTTGGGAGTAAATTTAAAGTCCCAACCACATGTTATTTTTATTTTCTTCAGTATTTTTTTTCTTTGATGCCATAGTTTTAAAAAAATAATTTACTATGCATACATACACATGTATATAATGAGTAGGATTTAAAGGTTTTTGTCTCATGTTTCCACAAGCTGAATATTTATTTTTTATAATACCCCCAAGGCCCGGGGGGCCCGGGAACTTTGCCTTGGCCCTATTTTTTTGGAATTATGGGCTTGCTTTTTCATCAGAACTACCAATCAAAGCTTTCATAAACAGATAATGTATACAAAAAAGGGTTCAGTTGAACCCCAAGCTTGTGTTATGGAATTGTTTTGTATAATGGCTTAATGTGATTGGGTTGGAAAAAAAAAAACTTTAAATTTTTTAATATTTTCAAACATGCACTTCAGTAGCCCCCGAATATAAATGAAATTGCCAGCTGGGGTAATAAATGTTTACTGTACCCCTTGGTTGCAAGGATTTTCTAAATTGGATATGTTTAAAAGATTGATAGGTCATATACCATTTCTTTATCAAAAAACACTATGATAATAAAAGTATTTTCTTATTTGTTCTTCAAATATATTTTAAACTATAAATAAATTTTGGTTATTTTGTTTTTTTATTTCAATAAAGAAAAAATGGTAAATGATATTTAATTTGAATTCTTTCTTAATTTAGTTTTTTCATTTATTTCTTAATCAAAATGAAAATTTTAATGAAGAGATGCATTATTAATGCTATACTAATAAATGAAAATAAAATTTTAAAACCCGGATATGTCTGGGGAAAGGTATGGAAAGCTCTTTTCTATTTATTCATGACAAAAAAATTTTTTTTCAATAATATTCTCTAATAAAGAGATAACTTTTTTCTTATGAGATCTATTTGAATATAATTTTATACCTTAGAAAATATCTCTTTAAACAAAAAAGAAAATTTTTGTATGAGAGATATCTCTTTTGATTGAGAGATTTTTTTGGGGAAAAATTTTTTTGAATTTGGAGAGATATCTTTTTAATAAGGCTAAAAGAGATATCTTTCTTAGTTAGAAACATTCTTTATATCTT